CTAAGGGCAAGTTTACATGTAAACAAGTTTGCTCTCAATTCCCAGGGCAGAAAAAAAAAACAAGGTTTAAAATTATTAGATTTTAAAATTTATTCTTAGAAGTGTAAAAGTTTATTAATTAAAAAAAAAGGAGATTGAAAAACCTGATGAACAATAATAGCTGTTCATTGTAGTAGAGTCTGCGATATGGGAGGGAAGTGGACTGACTGTTGGGGCGGGGCGGGGGGGGGGGGGGGGGGGGACTGAAAATAAATGTGCACCTATGGATGAGGACAATGCGGGGTGGGAAGGAGGCGGAGGGTGGGGTGGGAACCTGGTGGAGGGGGGAAGAAATGAGGAACCTTTGTAATAATATGAACAATAAAGATTGATTTTAAAAAAAAATAAAGTGCTTTACACAGTCCAGAGTAATCTATAAGCAAAATATTTTAACATTACTTCTTTTAATAAAATTCAATATTTTCCTATAAAAAAAAATCTCAGCAAATAAAACCCCCAGTCTGGATGGCTTCACCAGGGAGTTTTATCAAATATTCAAAGAGGTAATACCTGTCTTCCTCAAACTATTCCCAAAATTTCATGAGACAGAAACATTTCTTACCTCTTTGTATATGCCAGATTGAAAAACCAGATAAAGATTACAAAGAAAGAGAATTACAAGCCAATATTCCTTATAAACATAGATGTTCAAATGCTCCACAAAATATTAGCAAGTCAGATTCAGCAATATATTAAAAAGATCATACACCATGACCAAGGGAGATTTATTCCAGGGATTCAAGGTTAGTACAATACTTGCAAATCAACAAATGTGATGTATCACATAAACTAAAAGACAAAAATCATGATCATATCAATAGATGCAAAAAAAGCATTTGACAAAATTTAACACCCCTTTAAAAAAAAAAAAACCTCTCAGCAAAGAGGGACTAGAGGGATCATACCTCAACATGGTAAAGGCCATTTATGATAAACCTACAGCCAACATCGTAATGGCAAAAATTAAAAGAATTTTCCCTAAGAACTAGTACAAGACAGATGCCCACTCTCACCACTCTTATTCAACATAGTACTGGAAGTGCTAGCCACAGCGATTAGACAAGAAGGAAAAATAAAAGTCATCGAAATTGGAAAGGAGCAAGTAAAATTCGTTATTTGCAAAGGACATAATATTATACATAGAAGATCCTAAAGACTCCACTGAAACACTGTTAAATTTTATAAAGGATTAAGTCAATGTAGCAGAATACAAATTCAACACCCAGAAGACAATGGCATTTTTATACACAAATAATTGATTGTCAGAAAGAAAAACTAAACCTTTTTTACTATTGCAGCAAACAAACAAAAAATAAGATATTTAGGAATAAAGTTAGCCAAGGAGGTAATAGACTTATACTCAGAAAATTACAGGACATTGAAAAATAATATATAGAAAGTTATAAACAAGTGGAAGAATATACCATATTCATTGATTGGTAGAATTAGCATCATTAAAATGTCCACACTACCCAAAGTAATTTGTAGATTCAGTGTAATCCCTTTTTAACATATTACAACAGCATATTTCACAGATCAATAACAAATATTTAAAAATTTTATATGGAACCAAAAACACGAAATAGCTGCAGCAAATCTTAAGAAAGAAAAACAAAGTTGGAGGGATCACAACACCCAATATCAAATTATACTGGAAAGCCACTATAATAAATATAGCCTGGTACTGGCACAAGAAGAGGCATAGAGATCAATGGAACAGAACAGAGACCCCAGAAATTGACCTAAGCCTTTATGCTCAATATTTGACAAAAAACACAAGAGCATACAATGGAGTCAGGACAACCTCTTCAATAAATGGTGTTAGGGAAATTGGATAGATACATGCAAAAGAAAGAAGGAATAAGGGAAGGGAAGGAGGGAGGAAGGGAGGGAAGGAGGGAGGGAGGGAGGGAGGGAGGGAGGGAGGGAGGGAGGGAGGGAGGGAGGGAGGGAGGGAAGGGGAGGAGAGGGGATGGAGGAGAATGAAGAGGAAGGGAGAGGGAGGGAGAAGGGGGGAGGGAAGGGAGGGGAGGGGAAGGGAAGAGAGGGGAGGTGGAGGGGAATGGAGAGGAAGGGGGAGGGAGGGAGGGAGAAGGGAGGGAGGGAGGGAGAGAGGAAGGGAGGGAAGGAGGGAGGGAAGAAACCACCAACTTATACCATACACAAGAATAAACTCAAAATGGATAAAAGTCTTAAATCTAAGTCATGAAACCATAAAAATCCTAGAGGAAACCTTAGGCAGCAAAATCTCTGGTAACAATATGTTTGAGGATAAGTCTCTTAGGGCAAGAGAAACTAAAGAGAAAATAAACAAATGCAACTACCCCAAAATAAAAAGCTTCTGCACAACAAAAGAAACCATCAGCATAGTGTAAAGGGAGCCCACTTTACATATTTGGGAGAACATACTTGCCAATGATACATTTGACAAATGGTTAATATCCAAAATTTATGGCCAAGAGACATGAAAAAATACTCAAAGTCACTGATCATCAGAAAGTTTTAAGTTAAAACCAATGAGATATCACCTCACACCTGTCAGAATGGCTACTGTCAATAAATTAACAAATGACAAGTGCTAGAGAGGATGTGGAGAAAAGAGAACCCTAGTACTGCTGGTGAGAATGCATATTGGTGCAGCCATTATGGAAAAAAGTATGGAGTTTCTAAAAAAATTAAATATGGAACTGCTATTTGTCCCAGTAATCCCATTTCTGGGAGTATATCCTAAGAAACCTGGAACACCAATCAGAAAGAATATATGCACTCCTATGTTCATAGAACATCATTTACAAAATCTAAGATCTGGAAACAGCCCAAGTATCTCAGAAGAAAAAGCTGTGGTATATTTACACAATGGAATGCTATGGAGCAATAAGCAAGGAAGGTTCTCTTACTCTTGAGACAGCATGGAGAGACCTAGAGAATATTATGCAAAGTGAGATAAGCCAGTCAGAGAAAAACAAGTATCACATGATCTCACTCATATGTGGAATCTGATGAACAAAATAAACTGATGAATAAAATAGATCCAGAGCCATAGAAGCATGGAACAGCCTCAAATCTCAGAGGGAAGGTGAGAGTATATGAAGAGATTAACCAAAGAACTTATATGCACACATATATGCATAACCCATGGACACAGACAATAAGGCAGTGGACAGGGGCATGCTAGAAGGGGTAAATGGGGGGCAAAGGAGGGACACATGTAATACATTCAATAATAAAGATTTTTTAATTTTAAAAAAAAGGATGTACTATGGAATCAGGCAGACCAGGATTTTGAGTTCAGCTCTACAATTTAATACCTATAAAATCTCAGCCAGGTTACTTAGTTTCTCTCTCTCTCTCTCTCTCTCTCTCTCTCTCTCTCTCTCTCTCTCTCTCTCTCTTCTCTCTCTCTCTCAATTCAGTGACATGATGATTATAGCAAATACTTGTATAGTCTTTACTTTGTGCAATACACTTTTTTAAATTATTAGCCCCTCACAATTTCCTTATGCAGTGTGGATACTGTTATATCCTGCATTAACTGTTACAAATAATACCAACAAAAACTGCCACCAAAAAGTCAATGTGTCCTTAACCACAATCTGGTGACCATAAGACTATATTGAAAATGTTACCATTTTCTATTGAAATTGAAATTCATATTGTGAATTGTAAATTATGCTTAAAGATTTAAAAACTGTTTACCTTTTCTATTTTCTTTTATCTTTACTCTTTTTAAATTTTACAGTTAAATAAGATATATAAAGTGATTAGTATCATACTACTTAGTGTATAAATTAATTGATGAAATTTGTTATTATCTTTAAAGAGACGAATTAAAGAAAAAATTGGGGAGTTGGGCTTTTACTAATTTTACATGTTATATATTATCTGACCTTTTTTCCAATGAACATATATTACTTTGTATAATAATATTAGACAATGATGTGCTCTTGGGGAAAGATCTGGAAAACCTTTTGTCACTAAAGTATTAATAACACAAAACTATATTTTTCTTATGACACAAGATATTGAAGAATTCTTCAAGTAGGCAAAGGGAAATAACTCCACTGGTCTTTTGTACAGAAGGGTCTTCTCAAGGTCTCTAAGAGGAGATTTGGACATTTTTGTTTTTTTTTACTCACCTCGACATGTTCATTTATTCTTTTTATTGTATTCTTTTATGTCCTAGGGTGGTGTATTCATATGGAAAGGGATATATATATATATATATATATATATATATATATATATATATATATATTTTAAGCATTTAGGTTATTATCCTCTATCAAGAATGGTTGGACAATCAATGGAAGAAATGGAAAGAACTAGAAATAATCATCGCTTAGTTATCTAAACAAAGAAAAACTTCCTTTTCTCCCTTTCTCTCCAGTAATGCATGGATTTAATAACTTTAATATACTTTTTCTTATGTAAAATTTGATCATGCATTGTTATGTAAATAAAGACACTGAAGTATTTTATTAAGTTATGATGCTTTAAAGATTTGAAGTCCTAGTTGTGCATGAGCAGTATCATATAGAATAAGCTCATTGTGATTAGAGAGGATAGCATGCTTAAGGTAGTGTTCAACAGCACAAATTTTGAAATCAGAATGCTAGAGTTCAAATCCTGGCCCTGCCACTTCCTGGTTGAATCTTAATTGAACAAGTTACTTACCTTCCATATCTCTTGGTTTCTACTTATATAAAACAAGGATATAAATAGTAGATGGTAGAGAGTTCTCTATTTCATAAGGTTGGTATAAGGTTGTTGTAAGAATTAAATGAGTTACTATTTATAAGTCACTTTTACATATAGTAAGTATTCAAAAAGTGTAGCTACTAGAAGAAATATTGAATCAGAATCTGTTTGTAAGTACTTTTAAAATTTATTTTTAGTGAAGTGTAAAAACTGACTTTTTTCACTAGTTGGTTTTGACTATTTGTTTCTTATTTGTATTACAGTTACAAATTATAATACTGTGGTAGAAACAAATTCAGATTCAGATGATGAAGACAAGCTCCATATTGTGGAAGAAGAAAGCATTACAGATGCAGCAGACTGTGAAGGTGGTATGCCGGAAGATGACCTGCCGACAGACCAGACCGTGTTACCAGGGAGAAGCGAAAGAGAAGGGAATGCGAAGACCTGCTGGGAGGATGATGGCAAGTTTAATTTTGTTTTGTAACAGTCTATTCTCTTTATTTTTAAATATATTTATTAACTAAAAAGATAAGTTAAATGAAAAATTTGAAATGAACTTTGTTTACTTGTCTATTAATCAATAGAGGGTATCCTTCTGTTTACCAAAAAAGTAGATTATGAAGCAGAATAATAAAGTTATTATGACCAAATGTACAATGCAGATAATATTGAATTCTAATAGATTTTTTTAAAAGAATCAAGCTTTCCATATGCTGTTGATCTAATTGAAGCTATATTTAATTTCATAGTGTGACCTCAAATGAAATATCTACTTACTAGTAAAAAACAAAAATATATATTTTGGCGCAGTGAAATTATAATAATGTAATATACAAAAATCCCAAATACAAATAAGTAATTAGAGTGTTTTTAGTGTTTATAAGCCAGTCTGCCTCCTTTTTCATATGTGTGTGTGTGTGTGTGTGTGTGTGTGTGTTTATGTGTCTGTGTGTATGTGACATCCAAATTTGAGAGAGGAGTTTTCCTAGAAGAGTTTCTGAGTGAAACAGGGGTCTTGAGATACAAAACAGCAGTAAAGGTTAATTATGTAAAAACAAGGAATAGAAGGTGCTTCAAGCAGAAGACACAACATGAATGAAACTATTAAGATTTGAACAAGTGATGTTTGCAGAAATTGAGATCAAGGAAGTAAAGAAGGAAAGAAAGGAAAGGCACTGTGTGCTACATCAAGGAATATGTACTTATTTCTGGAAGCTTTGAAAACATCATTGATATGCACTTCAGAATTACGTTTAGTAGCAATATGGAAAATAATTTTAGAGGGAGGGAGTTTAAAGACAGGACACAGTGCCTTCAGTAAGCAGGCTATAAGAATTCAGGAGATTATAAGAGTTCTTGAACTAAAGAAGTGGTATCCCTTGTGCTTGGAATTAAGGGGAAAGATTTAACATAAATGTAGCAGGTAAAACATAAAAGACTTGGTTGATTTTATGTGGAAAGTAAAGGGAAGGACTGACATAACTCCCAGGTTTCTGGGAAATAGAACCCAGATAAGTAAATTTGCTTATTTATTATCACAACTGGTAAATGGCAGTGATATTAAACTTTTAATATTGAGCTCAAAACTTTTGGGAACAAAGATTTCTTATGTATTTCTTGTATGTGGCCAAAATTGATCCATCAGTATAGTTGAGCCAAAGTCTTATTATGGAAGCAATAAGAAATGATTTGTCTGGAAATAAAGGAGATAAGAAGAATAAGATGGAGACAAAAAAGATGAAAAATCTTTAAAGGGTTCTTTTTCTGAAAATATATTGGGATAGATTATTTGGACTATCTCACTGAAAATAACTAATGTCAGTCTAATTGCCTGGTGTTATATTAAAAAATAAATAAATCTTCTTGAAAGCTTTAAATAGCTAGTTAGACAGTAAGAAAACAACAGATCAAAATCTAAGTGAACACAAGAACCCATAGAGGTTGGCAGAGCACAGCATAGTAGAGTCTTTGACCTTAAAGGCATTTGCCTAAACAAGGCAATATGAGATATTATATTAAAGCCTTAGACCACCAAAATGTTTAATTACAGATTCTACCATAGTATGGATTACACGTGGATTATATGATGAAATAAAAGCAAACCCTCTCTCATCCCTACCATTCTCAGGAATTAGCAGATAAAATTGCCTTGGTTAGGGATTAGGGGAGTGGAAAATTGTCTCTGAGAAGTAGTAATCATGAAGTGTCTTGCATTGATTTGCACCTCAGATTCACATTACTGGATAGTGTGATAATTCTGAAGCCATGATTGACTTTAAATTGGAATTGAGGCTAATGCCTATAAGCACCGAGAAGAAGCTAATACAAACCTTTTTGAGGAACATACCTTCTTCCTAACACTATAGAAATCTCCTAAATAACCCAGCAAGAATGCATCAACATGAGTGAGAATAAACAGAAATAAAAGGAGCAGAAACTGATCATAAAGATGTTAATCTGAGATAATCTCAGAGTTATCTGAGATAGATTATAAAATGACTCTCATGTTTAAAGAAAGAATAGACAAATTTTAAAGAAATCAAATGAAACTTCTAAAAACGAAAAAAAATAATAGAAATTGAAGTTCAAAGGATGGATTTAACAGCAAAGTAAATAGAATTGAAGAAATAATTAATGAATTTAAATGTGGAGAAAATTGTACGAAAAGCATCTCAGGCAGAAATAGGAAAATAAAAAAAAAGAATAGGAAACAGTTATAAGGATAGAGTTAAAAGGTCCAATATATGTCTAAATTATAGGAAAAGAGAGAAGAGGGAAACAGTAATATTGAAGAGATGATGGCTGAGATTCCATGAAGGACAACAGACCACAAATTGAGAAGTCCAGCAAATCTCAAGAAAAATAAGTCCACTCCCAGGCACATTGTGGTAAAATAGAATATTCAAGATAAAAAGAAAAACTTAAAAGTAAATCCAAAAAGTCAGGTTGTGTTTGAGAGAATGGCAATTAGACTGATAGCCAAATTCTCAATAACAATGGAAACCAGACATAATAAAACGATGTCTCTCAATGCAAAATTCTATATTTAGCAAAAATATTTTTAAAGAAAACAGATGAAATGAGGTAATTATTTCATACAAGTTTCAGGCAATGAAAACAGAAAATTTGTTAATAGTAAACCCTTACTAAAGCAAATTTTAAAGGAAATATTTTAGGCATGATGAAAGAAATCTTTGATAAGACGTCTAAGATTTAAGAGCAGAGAAAATGACCAATGTATAGTAAAGAGAAAAAATCACATAGTATTTCTCATGAAATGCTAAGCAAAAAAGTGTGTGTAGTTAAAATTAATTTCAAATGAAGTTAACTTTAAGGTCAAAAGCATTATACTAATGAAATATTAAATTTGCTGATAAGATATTATTTTAAATGTGTTTGTACTTAATAACAGGGTCCAAAAATATGTTAAGAAAAAAATAAGTAATATATGAAGAGAAAAAGATAAATCTGTGGAATAATTAACACACCATATTAGACATTGATAGAATAATCACACAAAATCAATGAGGATATAGAAGATTTGAAAATATGAGTAAGACATATAGTAATTGCAAAGTAAGTGTTTTTTTCAACTGTGGGGCTTTTATAAAACTCGAGCATAGGCAGGGGAATAAAGCAAATCTCAACTAATTGTAAAGGATAAAATTATACAGACATCTTCCTTGATCATAATATAATTAAGCTAGAAAATAATAAAAACTAAGTTTGGAAATTTTAAGAAACACACTTTGCATGTTCATGGGTCAATGCAGAAATCATAATGAAAATGAAATTTTATAATGAATGATAAAAATATTGCATTTCAAAATTTGTAGAATATGGTTAAAGCAGATTATAATGTGCTTTTTAAATTACATTCATTGGGGTAGCATTGGTTAATTGAAATGTGGGGAAAATTGGTTTCACATGTACATTATGGTACATAATAGGTTTATGTACCATAATTATATAGGTTTCACATGTACATTTCTATGATACATGATCTGTGTCCTGCATTGTGTGCCCATCACCTAGTCAAATCATCTTCCATCACTATATATTTGATCCCCTTTACCCTTTCCTGCTCCCCACCCCTCTTCCCTCTGGTAACCACCATACTGTTGTATTTGTCTATGATTTTTCAGTCTTATATCCCACATATGATTGAAATCATATGGCTCATAGCTTTTCATACTGACTTATTTCACTTAGCATAATTTCATCAAGGTCCATCCATAGTGTTGCAAATGAAAGCACCGTATTTTCTTATGGCTGAGTAGTATTCTGTTGTATATATGTATTAAATCTTTTTTATCCAATACTCTATGAAAGGACATGAGTTATTTACATGCCTTTGCCACCATGAATAATGCTGCAATGAACATAGGGGTCCATATATCTGTGAAAATCCGTTTTTAGAGAAAATTTAAGTACACATTTTAGAAAAGTTTCTGGCTAAAAGTTAATGAGCTAAGTATCTCAAAAATTTAGAAAACTGAGCTGTTTGAAAGTTTAAAAAAGTAAATAATATAAAGTTGAAAATAAACCTACAATATAAAATATCAAAATAAGCAAAACTTTATTCTTTAAGAGCTTAACAAGAACAGCCCTGGCCAGGTAGCTCAGTTGGTTAGAACATCATCCTGATAGGCCAGATTAATTACAGATTCTCTCATAATATGGATTACAAGTGGATTATATGATTTCAGGTTCAATGCCCAGTAAGGACCCCTACAACATTCAACCAATGAATGCATAAGTGGAACAGCAAATCAATCTCAATATCTCTCTCTCTCTCTCTCTCTCTCTCTCTCTCTCTCTCTCTCTCTCTCTCTCTCTGAATAAATTAAGATTCATACAATAAATTGTGCACTGATGTTTGAAGAATATTTATTTATACTTTCCAAAAATTGAAAACAACCCATTTTTCTTCAACATGTGAAAGGAAAATTAAAATATAGGGCATTCATTCAATGGCATACTATGCAGCAATAAAATGAAACAAAAGCAACAAACATGGATGAATTGCAAAGGCATTAAGCTGAGTAACAGAATTCAGCCTCAAAAGGTTATATACTGTATGATTACATGTATATGACATTTTATTTTTAATTTTTAAAAAATCTTTATTTTTAATTGTATTATAGATGTCCCACTTTTCCCCCCATTGCCCCCTCTCCACCCAGTACCAATCCTGTTCCAGACCTTAACCATCCTACTCTCTGTGTCCATTGGTAAGATCATTGGTTAATCTCTTTCCAACCACCACCTTTCCCTCTGAGATTCGTCAGTCTGTCCCATGCTTCCATGCCTCTGATTCTATTTTACCCACCAGTTTATTTTGTTCATTAGATTTTGTGTTCATTTATTTTGATTTTTAGATTCAATTGTTGATAGATAAGTACTTGGTTGCATTTTATTGTTCATATTTTTTAATCTCTTATTCCTTCTCTTTCTCTTC